GTGATCCAGATGAACACTTGGGATTTTATGGTAGTTAATTATATTTATGCTGTATTTATAATCCATTTCTTCACGTTTTGAGCATAGACCTGAAAATGAAATTTCCAACTTAAATTGTCATGTCTCTTGAATGCCTTGTTTAAAACACAGACTTCAGGCTTTGATCGCTTCTCTTTGAAGTGAAAAATGTTAAACATTTAACTTACAAAACGTTACCGAATTTTGTGTTTATTATGAAAAATGTGCAAAAATACTATTTTCAATCTTTATATGCTGCATATATTTTCAAAAACATTTTTTACTCTAAAACTGAGATAATCAGAGCCATAAATCTAAACAAGTTGTATTCCAAATTTGAGGTATCCTAATCTTACTGAAACGTTTTGAACAAACTGACAATTTTATCCAGATCAAAACCAAGACTGGATTTTTTTACTTTTTTTTATCTGATATTTAGATTTTAGATTTAGATACAGTATAATTTAGATTTTTCTTTTGAACAACCATTTTCAAGATTTGATCCAATCCGACAGCTGAAATGTGATTATATTTGAACAACTGGCCCCTGATGATCATGGGATAAAGTGTTATATTGGTTTGCCGTGACCCAAACCATGCCAGCAAAATGTATTACAACCACCAGATTCTTCTCAGATCTGTATATATAAACATTTTTGAAATATCAATCCAAACTGTTATATTAAAAAGATTTTTTTCCTATTATGAAATCATTTTCTGTCTATTGTCTTTGTAGTTCTACATATGAAATGTGTCCTTCCATTGATCAGTGAGAGTAATTCAGTAATATATATTTAGATTAGGGTCTAATTCTCACTACTAATTAAATATTAACTACAACTTTCCCCTTAGTAAACTCCTAATCACTGCTTATTAGGAGTATCACTGAACTGAAGAATAGTGTTGCCATATGTGTGTGTGTATATACATACAGTGGGGCCAAAAAGTATTTAGTCAGCCACTGATTGTGCAAGTTTTCCTACTTAGAATAATGAGAGAGGTCTGTAATTTTCATCATAGGTACACTTCAACTATGAGAGACAAAATGAGAAAAAAAAAGTATTTGGTCACTTACAAACCAGCAAGATTTCTGGCTCTCACAGACCTGTAACTTCTTCTTTAAGTAGCTCTTCTGTCCTCCACTCCTTATCTGTATAATTGACCTGTTTGAACCCGTTATAAAGACACCTGTCCACAGCCTCAAACAGTCACACTCCAAACTCAACCATGGCTAAGACCACTGTCGAAGAACACCAGGAAGAAAATTGTAGACCTGCACCAGGCTGGGAAGAGTGAATCTACAACAGGCAAGCAGGTTAGTGTGAAAAAAATCAACTGTGGGAGCATTTGTAAGAAAATGGAAAACATACAAGACCACTGATAATCTCCCTTGATCTGGGGCTCCACGCAAGATCTCATCCTGTGGGGTCAAAATGATCATGAGAACGGTGAATCAAAATCCCAGAACTACACAGAGGGACCTGATGAATGACCTGCAGAGAGCTGGGATCAAAGTAAACAAAGGCTATCATAAGTAACACACTACACCGAGAGGGACTCAAATCCTGCAGTGCCAGGCGTGTCCCCCTGCTTAAGCCAGTACATGTCCAGGCTCGTCTCAGGTTTGCCAGAGAGCATATGGATGATCCAGAAGAGGATTGGGAGAATATCATGTGGTCAGATAAAACCAAAATAGAACGTTTTAGTAAAAACTCAACTTGTCATGTTTGGTGGAAGAGGAATGCAGAGTTGCATCCCAAGAACAACATACCTACTGTGAAGCATGGGGGAGGAAACATCATGCTTTGGGGCTGTTTATCTGCAAAGGGGACAGGAAAACTGATCCGTGTTGAGGGAAGAATGAACGGGGCCATGTATCGTGAGATTTTAAGCCAAAACCTCCTTCCATCAGTGAGAGCCTTGTAGATGAAACGTGGCTGGATCTTCCAGCATGACAATGAACCCAAACACACCGCCCGGGCAACGAAGGAGTGGCTCCGTAAAAAGCATTTTAAGGTCCTGGACTGGCCTAGCCAGTCTCCAGACCTCAAGCCCATAGGAAATTTGTGGAGGGAGTTGAAAGTCGGCGTTGCCCAGTGACAGCCCTGAAACATCACTGCTCTAGAGGAGATTTGCATGGAGGAATGGGTCAAAATACCAGCTACAGTGTGTGAAAACCTGGTGAAGACTTACAGGAAATGTTTGACCGCTGTCATTGCCAACAAAGGTTATGTTACAAAGTATTGAACTTTTGTTATTGACCAAATATTTATTTTCCACCATAATTTACAAATAAATTCTTTAAAAATCCTACAATGTGATTTCCTGGATATTTTTTTTTCTCATTTTGTCTCTCATAGTTGAAGTATGATGAAAATTACAGACCTCTCTCATCATTCTAAGTAGGAGAACTTCAGTGGCTGACTAAATACTGTTTGGCCCCACTATATATATATATATATATATATATATATATATATATATATATATATAATGATTACTGTCAAGTTATCATTTCCATAGTGTTTGCTAGAATCCATGATGCCACGAATCTGAACAAGAGGTCCAGGAAAAAAAAAAAAACAGACCACCAACATTAAAGATCCAGCATTATATTTAATCATACACATGACATGTGGTACTCTTTATCCCTGTGTGCATCAAACCCATCTCAGACAACAATATTTCACTTTTTGTTAATTTGATAATTAGCATGTAAAATGCCTGTCGAGGCAGTGCCCGGTCCAGAAAGAGAATATGACATCATCATGGATGAAACTGGAAGTGCATGAACTGGTGCTGATGAACACGCAGTGTAAAGCTGAGAGACTCGCAGCTCCAGTCAGTGAACCCGTGAAGCAGCCGAAAGCAATGAGCTCGTCTCTGCTGGACTCTCTTCAATGCATGTGAAAACCTTCAGTTTAATCATGTGTCCAGGGTCTTTGTTTTGTAGTCTTTTGCTTAAACAAACAACTTTTTTTTTTAATTTATGGTGCTTTTCACCCATTTAGATAAAAGTAAAAACTACATAAATTCAGTTCTTGTTCTTGTTAAAGGATTAGTTCACTTTTAAAAAAAACTTTTGCTGATAATTTACTCACCCCCATGTCATCCAAGATGTCCATGTGATTCTTTCTTTGGTCAAAAAGAAATTAAGGTTTTTGATGAAAACATTCCAGGATTTTTCTCCATATAATGGACTTCAATGGGAACCAAACGGTTCAAGGTCCAAAAGACAGTTTCAGTGTAAACTGCTCGAAGGGCTTTAAACGATTCCAGACGATGAATAAGGGTCTTATCAAGCGAAACCATCGCTCATTTAAAAAAAAAAAATAAAGTTTAAGTTTTATAAGCACAAATGGTCACCTTGCTCTGTTAGGGTTAGGGTGTGATGCGTGTTCGTGACTATCCTGTTTGAACTCGTTCATCAAAATGACCAAATCTTTTTTCGTGTCATTTAATTCATTTAACGAACGAAATGAACGAGTTGACTCTGGAAAAGATTCGTTCATTTTGATGAACGAGTTCGAACAGGAGAGTCACGGACGTGCATCACAGAACAGGGCGACCATTTGAGCTTATAAAACTTAAACTTTGTTATTTATTTATTAAATGAACGATCGTTTCGCTTGATAAGACCCTTATTCATCGTCTGGAATCATTTAAAGCCCTTTGAACAGTTTGCACTGAAACTGTCTTTTGGACCTTGAACCATTTGGTTCCCGTTGAAGTCCATTATATGGAGAAAAATGCTCGAATGTTTTCATCAAAAACCTTCATTTCTTTTTGACTGAAGAAAGAATCACATGGACATCTTGGATGACATGGGGGTGAGTAAATTATCAGCAAAAGTTTTTTTTAAAAGTGAACTACTCCTTTAAAGTCCCCATGTGGTGAAAGCCAAGTTTTTACTGTTGTTTATGTCTATGTGGTGTTTTTAAAATACTTTGACATTCATAAATTCATAAGTCTTCACCATTGCTGACTCTGAGTATTATCAAAGGCCCTGTCCACACGCAAACACAGTATCCGGTCACTGAAACCACACTTTTTTGGAAAACTTGGAGATTTTGGCATGTGGCATCAGAACCGGAACCCAACAAAAAAAGAAAAACCTTTGTTGCAGGCTTCTGATTGGCCAACATGGCTTTATGGTTTGGGTTATATCGCCACCTGTTGGTTTGGATGCTCTTGACAGCGTTTCATAGCGTTTGTTTATTTATAAAAATATAAAAGTACGTCACACACGACCTTGTAACCAATCAGATCAACGTGTGATTGTCAACAGGTGGATCTCTGAGCTGAGTGAGTGGAGGCGGGGCTCATTTGCATATTCATGGAACCGCGTACACTAACAAAATTGACTACAGGAGGACTTTTTTAACGGTTTAATTCTTAATGTGCACGGGGGATGGGAAATATAATATATTTTTGCATTCCCATTTGCTCCAACAGACAAAACCAAGTATTTTGTTTACACTTTCCAAAAGAGGAAGATGAAAAAAAAAAGGTCCATACAGATTGAACTGGTGAATGTGGTGTAAAACAACTCAGCTGATGTTCTGTTCACATCTGGACAAGATTATCAATATTTGCATCAAGGGTGAAAAATTGTAAAAGTGAAACCTATTCAAATGAATATATCCTTTCTTCAAAAAAAAAAAAAACAAATTGTGTGATCTTACAAGGTCGTTTGTGAAGTCAGAAACACCAGCGATTTCAAACCGTGTTTTAATTGAGACTGTCTTTGGTTCACCACAGTTTTAAGGAGAAAATACTCAGCAATGCTGTTGACTTATGAATTAACACATGGTTTGTCTTAAAGCATATTAAAAACACCGCAAAGACATAAAAAGCTTGATTTTCACCACAGGGGGACTTTAAAAGTGCCATTGATCATGCAGAGAGACACATGAATGTTTCTGTCGATTATCAAAATTAGGTTTGATTAATCAGGCTACTCGGGCTAATTCCTTCACGAATTTAATCAGAAATAATCAAGAACATCAGAAGTATAAAACGATGTCACCTCATTGGCTTGACTAATGGCATATCTGGGGTTTTACAGTCTGGATTTCCTCTATTTACAGTGGGTCCTCGTTGGTCAGCGTGACTTGGGACAGTGTCTCTTGACGTGGGTGAGTAGATTGCTGGACTGTGTGAACCTCCTCCCGCAGAGCGGACAGTGGTACGGCCTTTCCCCCGTGTGCACCCGCTCGTGTCTCTTCAGGGCCCCCGAGTGACTGAAACTCCTCCCGCAGTGCGAACACTTGTAGGGCTTCTCTCCGGTGTGAACCCGCTGGTGCATCTTCAGCGCGTTGGCCGTGACGAAGGCGCTGCCGCACTCGGAGCACACGTGATCTCTCACACCCGTGTGTATGTTCTCGTGATCTTTGAAAGTGCAGAGGCGCGAGAAACTCTTGCCGCAGATGGAGCACAAGAACGGCTTCTCGTTCGAGTGAATCGACAGGTGCGTTTTTAAGTGCGACGCCAGGATGAATTTCTTCCCGCACTGATCGCAGGTAAACGGCCGCTCGCCGGAGTGGTAGCGCAGGTGACCTTTGACATCCGTGGCCCGTTTGAAAGTCTTCCCGCACTGAAGGCACGTGAACGGCCTGGCTTCGGTTCTCGTAGTTCTGTCCTGGTCAACGTCCTGTGACGAACTGAACGTTTTTTCTCCAGCTATGAACTGCGTAGGTTTCTGATACTGATGGTCCGACTCATGGTTGCACGCCACTTCACTGGGTTCTTGACTTTCCTCTGTTACTTCTGCCGAGTCTAAAATGAACAAATGATATTGTCAAAATTTGAGAGGGATACGTCTAAAGAGAAAGTAAACTTTGGTGAAAACTGTCGGTAAGGCACAGATGTTAGGTAAGCATTTCGATCTACTTGGTTATGATAAGACATTTATCAGCGCTAACTAAAAGCAGTTTAAATTCAATGTGCATTTTGATTTCATTGGTAAAAGTCCCCCAGTAGTCAATCATTTTATCCCTTAAAACGCACCTTTGATCACTAAAATGACACATTTAAACGTTTTTTTATCTTATATCTTAAGATAAATATCTTGAATGTAACTCGACACCCTCATTTAGTATACACGGTTCAATGAATATGCAAATGAGCCCCGCCTCCACTCACTCGCTCAGCACAGAGATTCACTGGCTGACGATCACACCTTGATCTGATTGGTTACAAGGTCGTTTGTGACGTTAGAAACACCAGAGATTTCAAACTGTGTTTTTGAGACTGTCTTTGGTTCAATGCAGAAAATACTCAGCAATGCTGTCGACTTATGAATTTACACATGCGTTGTCTTAAAGCAAATTAAAAACACCACATAGACACATAAACAACATTAAAAGCTGGACTTTCACCACAGGGGGACTTTAACTATATTAGTTTACTTTACATGAACTAAAAATGAAAAATATTTCAAAAGCATTTAAAAATCTCAGTTAATGTTATTCTCAATCACAACATTAACTAATAACATGAATACAAAAGTCGTGTCGGTTGTAACATTAGTTAATGAACCTGAACTTACATGAACTAACAATGTATTTTTAATAATTAATGTTAAAAAGATTAACAAGTACTGTAAAGAATGTATTGCTCATTGTTCATTAACTAAACTTAACTAAAGGAACCTTAGTTCATAGCATCATAACATCTGCATTCCTCAACAAATGAATCAAGACACAAACCTTTTTGTTCCTCATCATCATCTTTGCTTTCTATTTGCGTTGGCTCTGGATCGCTCATGTCTTCCTCTTTAATAAATGACAACTTTACAGTATTATGCTATGAAGATCTCTGCTGTTACACCTGGTTTTTCCTGGTTGACTGGATCCACTTCTTCATTTGAGGGATGGTAAAACTATTCCGCATTTACTGGTGAATTGTTGCACTAAAGGTGCCAGATCTAAGGAAAACACACAACAATAAGATATTGAATTTAATAGGCTTGCCATCCCATTATTTATACTACCTGATTATATTTCGAGAGAGTAACACTCTTTATGCATTTACATTTATAATTTCCTACACATTCTTTTTAACTTCACAGTTAATAACATACTTTATTCAATTAAATGAGACAGATACAACAAAATATTTAAAAACAACTATTAAGTAAAAATATGGGTAACAATTTATTTCAATGTGGTTACAATGTAACACATTACATATTTACTATATGAATGATTAGGCATAATTACAAGAAAGTAACCCTATATTAAGTATGCAGTTAGTTAATATTACTCAGTTCTTATTAGACTATATTGACACATTAAAATAAAGTGTAAAATAAAGTATCTGTAAGTATTGTAAGAACAGAAACAGTATTAAAAAACGGCATTAAGGCATTTTCTCATTCAACAATAAATTCATAACTTCTCACAATGTAATTTTGACATTTTGTGTGAGCAGCCTTCTTTGTTAATTGTTAACAACCGTTTAACTCATACATGTGTCTTCTTCAGTAACTTGCTCTTTTTATTGGTTTGTTTGAGAATTCATCATGTACACTTTGTCTAATACTGTCAGTTTATTGATATCAAATGTAAGTCTGAGACCCTTGGTGCTCGGCACATAGGGTCATATGGTTATTGAATTACCTCTTTATTTACTCCTGACATTTCCAGCATCGAAAACATGCATTTATTCAGGATAAAGCTCTGCTGGTTAAGGAAAGTCTAGTTTACATCACGTCAGTAACAGTAACAGCTCGCGCGCACGTCAGCTACTTACGACAGTTGTTACTGGGGCGTCAGTTTTTACGTGACAACTTAGTCCAATGCAATTGAAATAAAATAAAAAATGTTTATTACATAACAAACAAACAAACAAACAAAGTATCCGCAAGGAACCTCTCTTGTATGGCCTTTCACTAGATCAATGTTGTTTTGGCGTAAACTCCTCCCAGAGTCCGCGTTTGAAGTGACTGAATCATGTGATCAAACGTGCAGCTCACGTGACGCATTTCTCGCGTTATTTCGGGTTTCTTCTCACTGCACAGGCTTGTTGTTTATTTCTCCGCATTTCATTCATTCATTTCAAAGCATGTATTAATAGTAATAAATGTTTGTGTATAGGCGAGGGTCTAGTAACACACAAGTTACCAGTTTCCATGCAACAATAAATTATACTCTGTGTACCTAATAAAACATGACTTCATACACTTAATTCAAAGTGAAACTACTGAAAATCCACAGAAGAATACTGACCATCATGGGAAAACAGTCTAGGGGAAAACCCGTGTTTTTCATCTTTTTTATTATTTTAATATTTTCTATGCCAAACACTTTGAATTGCCATAGTGTATGAAATGTGCTATATAAATAAACTTGCCTTGCCTGAGTGGATTTACACAAGCTGAGAAAGTCAAAGCTTTGGGTTAGTGGCCCACTATCCTATGTGTTTCATGTTTAATGTCACATTCATGATCACCTGCTTGATTAAAAATCATTTTAGAGGTGACCAGTCTTCACATCCTGTTCAGGCTGTTTTTTAGAGAATGATGAAAATAGACCTTATTCAGAGCAGCGCCATGACAGGTATGAAAGTGAGGCTGTGAGGGATAGACGTACCGTGTTTCCGCTGGCATCCGCTGTAAAAAGCTGAATAAAGCAGCTAGATTACTTACAATTTTCCACAGCTTACATTGTCGGGAGTTTTTTGTCAACTGAAATTTCTTGGAAAGATATTTTTCCAGTCTTTTATAAGCAGAACAATCCGAAAACACAATAAATAACAGTACAGCCCATTGAAGAGATGCAGATCTATCCCTCACAGCCTCGCTTTCATTCTCATTAAAAATCAAAGATGGCGCTGCCGTGAATAAGGCGTATGTCCTGGTTTTCAAAAAACTGCTGGGAAAGATCAGCTCTACAGCAAAATATAGATGGGCAAACAAGGAGGATGAGGAAGAAAAACAGGATAAAGAGGAAGAAAACTAAAGATATAAATATATTTTGTTAGTTCGTTTTTATAAGTTTCTGAGAGCTATTTTTGTTCAATTTGGAGGTATTTTTTTTAGTTATTTATTATTTATATATTTATTTTTCTAATACAGAAGAGACATTATTTTTCTATAATTATTTTTGAAACCTGTCATAATAAAACATGTTGAGTAACCTCTGAGAAGCCTATCTGAATTTGTGTCTCATAATATAACAATTTTCTATCCATTCAGAGGAGGCATAGCCTACTTTAAATGTATTGAAATTAATAAGGCATCTTTGAGTTAACTTCGAGTATTATTTGAGTATCTGTTTGCTGGGCAGAGTGTCCTGGTTTTCACCCTATAGTAGACTATTTAAGGTGCACACATAATTTACTATAAACACATTATAAAAATGCAAATGTATATTGTTCAGATATAGATTAAATATTACCTTCTTGTAAAACGTTTATCTTATTAACTTTTAAAGCATGATTTACAGTCACAGAATTTACTCAACTATGAAACGAAGACGATCACCGAAACCAAAACTGCGCCTGATGGATTTTTTACGTCAATTTATGAAGATGAAATAATAACCACCAGAAACACACCAGACTCAGAGACAGGAATATTGTCAAACCCAGACAGGTAGCCTATTTATTGAACAGATGAAACAGGCGAGTAATAGTGAAGTCAAGAGTGATGACTGATGAATAGTGAAAAACAAAGTCATTTCTTTTTTTTACCAGGTAGCTTGAGATGAGGCTGTGGGAAATATGGAGATACGTTAAATATCCTATAATATAAAAGAAATAATAAAACACAAAATGGTGTGTTAGTGCCATTTCCCCCATAAGTGTTTACTTGATCAGTAAACCAAATATTATCGCCTATTTGTTGTATTTAACATACAATAATTATGGTTACTTAATTTAAATAATTTTACTTTCCATTAAGTTGAATTGATTATTAAAGGGCCTGTTTAATGCACCTGTTATGTGGACGAACAGAGAACCCAGGCGCAGACAGCAGATGATGAACAAAGGATTTATTTAAGGACAAAAACAGAAAGCAAAACCCACGATGGGGCAAAACAGGACAGGGTAGGTATAACACACTAGACTAAGACTATGAACTAACAACTAAGACAGGAACAAACTCTTCTTGACAAGACTCTCAACCGGTTACTCACAGCTTGATACAAAGTATGATAAAGTCAAACAATGAACCGACACAGGACAGCAAACACAAGGGGATTAAATAGGGAACACTAATGACGAGGACAGGTGAAACTGACTAGACAATAATGACAAGACGAGGATAACAAGAGGGCGGGGTTATGTAACGAGACAACACAAGCACATGGCCCACACAGGCCATGCGCTTGTACACAAAACATGGGTCTGTCATGATCCTGCCACAAGACCAGGAAAAATCTAAGACATGATGGCAGAATCATGACAGCACCACTATGTTGTGTAACACCAGTGCAACTGTATCACACAAACTGCCACAATAAAAATTATTGGAAACACATGGTATAAATCTATCATGAATCACTATAAATACCACATTAACAGTCTCATTCGTTAATGCAAACTTTATTTTTCATGTAATGTTTAAAGGCATGAAAATGTAACCGATGTTGATCCTGATAAGCTCTCATTGTCACAGTTGTGAATACAATGGCTTGCTTCTTCCATGAGGGGGTTTGGCATCATGGGATCTTTGTTTCCAGGTGGACCTTAAAGAACGTAACGCACACATCACACGGAAATCAGATGAGGACTTCAAAACTTCTGAAGTGTTTCCTATTTTGTGAGCAATATGCATCAGATGTTCAGCCAATGGTCTGTGGGCGTGACATTTGAAACTGAGACTAGGGCCTTGTCCACACAGACACGGGTCATTTTTATCACCGTGACTTTTTCCACGCGGTTCGTCCACGCAGAAACTAAGTATAAGGACACTGAAACCGAACATTTTTGAAAACCCCTGCCAGGATGAGGATTTTCAGAAACGCTGGTTACAGTGTTACGCCAGATATAGATATACGCTAAAGAAGATATAAGAAGATCTACGCCAAATAGCGTCGCCGTCTACACAGCCAGGAAGAAACAAGACGAGGAAGATACAAGGCAAGATGATGTAGACCTGCTGTTCTCGTTGGTGTTAGAACATAAAGAACTATATGACAAACACGACAGGGACTACAAACATCTTGATAAAAGAAAACTGATATGGAGTGGTATTGCAGAGCAAATTGGCGCCATAATGTCAGGGAATGAATTTGCATGTTCACTCACCTCATTGTCAGCGAAAATCGCTTTGGTGTGAACACAAAAAACGCTTTGAAAAACACTATAAAATTACGCTGATAAAAATTAAACATTATTACTGACATGTAATGCAACTATAATAACTACTATAATAGCAACTGTTTACACGACACCATTTTCAAATGTGATCGCCTGAAACCGCTAAATTTTGGTTTTAATCAGGGGCGGTTTCTTCATTGGGGCGATTGGGCGACGCACCACCAAAGTGTGAATCACATTCGCAATCTCATTCAACCAGAGAGTTACCCTAGCAGTCACTGGATATAGTCCAATCAGCGTCATGTCACGTTCTGTGGAGTACCGCCTCTTTTTGGGCGATTTCACTCTGGCTGAGAATCGCCCAGAGTGTTCCCATAGACTTGCATTCAAAGATGTTTTTTTTCGAACTGCAGGCACTGCAATGCATTCTAAATGGGTTCCGGGAGGGCTCGCACTAACGTGCTTACATCATCATACGTATCCTTAACTTGTGCAGCGATTGGTGGGAACAAACATAAGATTAAGTGAAAAATAATATTTTAAAACAATTTTGAATTTAAACAACAACAATAAAAAATGAAACACTACTTTATTATCTTTATTAAATTGATTTAAAAAAAAAGCGAGAGCGAGAGAGACTGTTGGGACATCTCGCGAGTTGTGGCTACAGACAGTTGAACTTGAACAACGTCATGGCGAACACAGTCCTTTAGAAGCCTACACAGCAAATTTCAGGAGTTGAAAAATCATGAGTTAGGCAAAAGTTAGTTTTGGAGTTCATTCATTGGTGTTCAGGAGTGTGTTTTGGTTTTAACATTAGCTACACCTGGAGTTATTTTTGAGAAATGCGCCACGACACGACCCTGCAGCTGGACAAAGGAATAATGGACTTATGTGCCTCGTCGTGAGGTAGGTAAAAGTGTATATAAAACTATTTAAAAATGTTCTATATTTTCTGACAAACACGTTTGGTCATCGCGTTGCTGTTACGTTATAGGCTAGTTATACTGTTTACTAACGTCAACGACTATGACAAACTTGCTGTTGAACGTTTGTTTACTTGTTTCAAATTTTGAAATGGCTATTTGCGTGGGGGTTTGTCGATGTAGCTAAACGGGTTAACATTAGCTAACCGTCTTTCCATTCACCGTGTTTCTGAAAATGAGTGTTTTACCGTGAAATTGATGCATCAATGCATTACAGGCATACGTGGTTACAAAATTGCAGTGTCTAACGTTACCCTGGAAAATAAGATAGTTGTGCTGTGTAGGCCTGCAATTATTTGAATTGTAATAGCTATAACGTTAGGCTACGTATATTAGTGGTGACCCACGATGTGCGTGATTTTCAGCTAATATATTTTTGCATTCTCAATGAATGGTGCTAGATTATGCCTCATACTGTTGTTTTTGTGATCTTCAGATACGACTGTCCTGCATACAACCGGTTGAAAGTTACTCCTCCTCAAATCTGAACCAAATGGATTTGCTGAAGTAAAGGCAGTAAATCAAGAATATGGTGTTCAGTGCAGTAATTTCCACACAAAACATTATATTGTGTTGAATAAATGTTAACTCTAAGAAGTGTTAAACTAAAAAAAAAATTTAAGTGTTACTTTTTAACACTGGTAATGAGTTCATATAATTATTTTTAGACTTACATTTACTCTCCGTAGGATTAGTATTTTAACTCCATAAAGAGTTACATTTTAACTCTAAAAAAGTGTTAATTCAACTCCAAGAGCAGGGTTATTTTAACTCTGCACTAGAGTCTATTTGATGGTCTCACATGTACACTCAGATTGAGTTGATTTTAACTAACAGGGAGTTTATTCCAAAAACCAGAATTTGCTGTGTATGGAGGACTGATCCAGCTCTCAAATTTAATCAAAAATATCTTAATTTGTGTTCCGAAGATGAACGAAGGTCTGACGGGGCTGGGACAACATGAGGTTGAGTAATTACTGACATAATTTTCATTTTTGGGTGAACTATCTCTTTAAGTGAGTAATGTGATAAAATAAGTGTAATAATAGTGAGTATAGAAACAAGAAGATTTATTGTTATTAAGTCACTTTATTTGTCATTAATATTAAAGTGAAGTTGACTTTACATGCTTAAGATGTTAATTTATCCATTGCATGGGTGGGCCTTGTCCTTATCAATCATCCAAATATTTGCCCCCCCTGAGAGATTTTGCAGGAGCCGCCACTGGTTTTAATGTGAATGTTTTTTGAAAACGGTCTCTGTGTGAAGAATAAAAACTTTAATCTTTGAAGATGTTGATGTGATCCATGTCACAGCCCGTCTAACGGAGAGCCTTGGCACTTCCTATTAGCCCCATTGGGTATCCTCTTGGTTTACAGTTCCATTAGAATTCCACTGGAGGTGATCACGGGCGAGAGCAGAATGAATGAGAGTCTATGGGGCCAAACGGTGTCTATTTCACCTGCTTGTCGTTAAATTAACATAGATTTTATTGTTGATTCCGCAAGTTCAATATAGATTATAGGCCAAAAGTCGAATGAACGAGAACTTATGTCCTTTTGATTTCTTACAGGTTAGGCCGTTGTTGGCCGGAACACGCTAGCATTCTGCTATAGTGTGACGTCATCACATTTTTGAACTCATTTTTTTAACAGATAAGTGAACTTAAAAATGCAATTTTCAGCTGAGTGTATTATCTTAGCCCTCCCTTTTGAATGCAACTTTCAAATTACATCCTGAGAAAAGTGGATTTCTGGGGGTGAAACCCCATTGACTGCCATTCATTCTGCACTCGACCGCGAGCGCCCCCGCATGGACAGAGACGTGTTACTGCAGCCAGTCCAGAACCCGGAAGTAACCAGCCAGTGCCAATTCTCTTCAATTATACATTCTCTGTCCATGTATTGATCCACGTATTACGTGTTCAGTCTATAGTGTTTCATCGCCATCTAGTGGCATGGAGCAGAATACAGGGGTTTTAGTCTTTTACGTGGATCCGTGTGAATGGGGATCGTTTGACAATGACAATGGTGTCGTCTGTACCCGGAAATCTCAAATGAAAAACTTCTCCGTTTTAAGCATATCGTTGTCATGTAAACGTACCCGTAGTTTGTTAGAGTTGTTAAGCACTGCTAGCTCTACTCAGAATCAAGCAAAAGTGATGAAAGCGATCCTGAGAACTTGTAGGCTTGTTCTTCGTGATTTCTTTGGTGCATTTTCAATTCGCAAGCTCTAGTGAAAGCTTCACCACAGTCGGGGCACTTGTGAGCGTTTACAGCGCCGTGCGTCTGCTGGTGCTTCTCGTGGTGCACGTTGAAGCTTCCTTTGCTTTTAAAAGCTCTCCCGCAGTGCTGGCACGGTAACGGCTTCTCTCTGGTGTGAACTACCCATGTGAATCTTCAGGTGTGATTTCTGCGAAAAACACTTCCCACACATAGGGCACATGAAAGGTTTCTCCTGCATGTGAATTCGCACGTGCAAATTAAAGGTGCCTTTACATTTGAAGGTGTTTCCACACTGAAGGCACTTGAAAGTCTTCTCTGGGTTGTGAACTCTCATGTGACTACTCAGGTTACCTTTCTGGGCGTAAGTCTTTCCACACTGAAGGCACGTGAAGGGCTTTTCTCCAGTGTGTGTTTGTATGTGATTCGTAAGGATTTTCTTCTCTGTGAAACTCACTCCACACTGCTGACATGTGAAAGGCTTCACTCTGGTGTGACTTTGCATGTGCATATTAAGGTTTCCTTTGCTTGTCAAGCTCTTTCCACACTGAAGGCACACGAACGGGTTCTCTCCTCTGTGAATTCTCATGTGAGTTTTAAGGTTAGCTTTCTGTGTGAAACTCTTTCCACACTGACGACAACTGAACGGCTTTTCTCCACTGTGAATTCGAATGTGATTTCGAAGGATCCTTTTCTCTCCGAAAATCTTTCTGCGTTGAGGGCATGTGAAAGGTTTCTCTCCAGTGTGGACTCTAAAATGCCTCGTCAGGAATCGTTTCTGAGTGAAAACCCTTCCACACTCTGAACAAGTGAAAGACCTTTTGGTTTCTTTTCATTTGGCCTTCCCTTGGTTCATATCTGAGTCAGTCTGTAAGCAACTTAAAGGTTTGTCTTCGGTTTTGAAATTCTGATAGTAATGGTGCTTGTCATTCAGTTCTTCATTTTCTTCTTTCACTTCCACTAAACCTAAAATGAGAACAAACAAGGAGTCAAACTTCATTTCAAGATGGGCACTGGTTATCTTTTAAGGCCCTGATATACTCATGACAAAGTTCATTTCTATTTTCCGTTAAGAAGTTGGAAATACCTTGCAGTTGTATACTGTTAGCAAGCATCCTGAAGTGATGTTGAGATGAATATGTAAATATGTGCCAGCTCTGCAATTTAGCCATCCAGTCGATTCGAGTCATGTTTATTTATCAAGTTATAGGAGAGGATCGCTTGAAAAATCACAGGTTGGAAAAAAACTTTGCAGGACAGTGGGTCTCCAGAAGACACCTGCATTATATACAATCAGTGTCACTTCCAATTAGAATTAAAACTTAAATATCTCCAGGGTGTTCATCTTTTTACTCAAAGACATTCGCTCTGGCTGGGGAAAAACACCTTTTAACTACCATTGGTCTGTGGCAATGACTCCAGCAAGGTGTGGTCTGAGGATACGTCTTCTTTAAAGAAGAAACCTTCTGTTTAGAGATGCACCGGTCTACCGGCTAGGCACCAGATTTTCCGCATGATCGGCCCGGACCAGTGACTGGCCGATCAGACTCACGTCTTTCTGATTCAGAGACGGTCAGTTTTGTTGCCAGTGGCACAGGCAATAACATTAGCTGCGAGTTCTCGCTCTTTGACCGCACAGTGACACAGACCCGCCTCCTCTCACTCACTCGTCTCATTTGCTTCTGTTAAATAGTGCTTGTGTAGTGCATAATACTACTCATTCCTGCAGGTTTTGCACCAAAAGCGCATGCACCACTGATCTACAAGTGGCGCTCTCATAAAACCACCTCTCAAACAGCTCAGAAGTACCAAATTGTCTTCTTTTTCATTGTTCATTGCTCTTAAACGGACAAATGCATAATTTGTTTTAACATTTTCACATAATTTTGGGTGTATTTGGTTCTTGCGAGTGCTTGAGACTGATAACAGACTCTGCAACACAAGCACTATTAACCCGCTCACGCATACAATCACACCTGATCAGTCTTGGCTGGTCCCTGAGCATACGATCACACCGGTGTGATTACAACGTTCAGTGCATCACGTCATCAACTACTAAATTCAAACTTGCTCTCGCACGTTGGCTGGCACTCAGCCAGAGACAGACGCACTCAGTGCTGTCATATATCACAACTATTGAGTGTTTTCAACCACATAATGTTTATTTTAGGTTTCAGACATTTAAATACACATAAGTACTAGCAAAACAATGATTTTGAGTTTGTAAAATACACACAGATGTCTATGGAAGCGGGAATAATAATCCTTTCAATTATAATAAGACGACATTTTATTCATATCAGATACACATTAAGTAAGTAGCTTAACATTTGACCCTATTCTTTTCCCAGTTCACCTGCCACTTACTATCATGTATTTCGTGAGAAGTGGAGGAATTGACGTTGTAAATCCAACAGATCCGATTCTCTGAACTGAAAAAGAAACTAAAATGGCGCTGCCCATTGTGCATACAGCTCAACTAACGCGATCATTATAAAGATGTTTAAACAACAAAACCCATCCACTTGCACATATTTGACAATCGGAATATCAGTGTTTTATGATATAGCTAATACATTTTTGAATATTTTTAATAAAAAAAGGAAAAATGACATAAAAGCAGATCATGATTCATTCCGTGCTCTGTTGTAGTTGTGCTGTGTCGCCTGACAAGCAATGACGCATCCTGGACGCATCACCATGGAAACATTAAAGTGGCAAGTTCTAAATACCGGTCGCTTTGAAAAACTCACGCTGGGGGGTCAGTTAGAATATTATAAACTTACGTGTGAAAGGGTTAACAGGAGCGAATGAGGCGAGTGAGTAAGTGAGGGGAGGTGGGTGTGTGTCAATTCAGAGAGAATTTGATTTGAATTTGAATTAAAGTAATTTAGAAGAGAACAAGAATGCATGGCAGGTATATCACTCAGAAACACACATATCGTTTCTGCACTATCGATAGTCCTCAGATGCCAAGGCCGTAATTTATAGCAAAATATCTGGCATTAACCAGCACATTTGAAGAGAAATTTGCGACTAGCTATTAATGATGCATTGTACTATGGTAGATCCGCAGTGAGTTTTGTGGTTGTTCGGGAAATGCTCACCAGACAAGTAAAGCATTTCCTATGTATTCCTGGCGCAAGCGATTCAGCGCAGAGTTTCCTCTGCAGGATAATTTGCTACTGTACACAAAAGCATCCTGAAAGCTGACCATGTTGACCAGCTCATCTTCCTCCACAGAGGTCTTAACATTAAAAAAATAAAGTCTGATAGAAATATAAACAAACTGGAAAACAATTGAAATCCAAGTTAACAGGATCTGAGAATTCAACATCTGTATTTATTTTATTGTTTACACGTTTAAAGAATCCTGCACGCACTTTATTTTACATTGATATTAGTCAGATGAAAATAAGGTTCCCTTTCAAGGTGGTCACTTCGACATTTACGTTGGTGACGTAGTATGGGAATTCCTCCCCTTCTTCACTTCTGCTGAAATCTTATGGGCTCACGCCAGCTGGAGACAGCTGGCCAATTGACGCAAAATATGCAAACACTGACAAGCCTGGCAGTATAAAATGCATATGCTCGTCAACTGCATCAGAATCATTTTCTTCACGCTCAAATCGACGCTATTCGAATTGGAATTTACTCTACTGACTTCGCCATCGTCAAAGGTGCATCTAAAGATACCTCACTGTCTTTTGCATCCGATGGCATCCATCTGCAACTTGTGCTCGGGGCCTATTATAGCGCCCGACACCCACCTGTTCTGTATCGCCTGCATGGGCCTGGCCCACGCCGAGTCAGCCCTGTCAGACAACCTTTCGTGCGCCCAGTGCGCGCCCTCAAGGCTAGGAGAGATATGGCTCGAGCAGCTGTAGGGATTGGCTGCTGCCTGCGAACCGCTGGTGGGCCCTTCCACTCCCAGGGAAAGGGAGCTTGACGCCGTCAGTTTCACGGTCGATAGCTTCCGCCTACAACCCCCCCCCCTTCCCCCCAGTCAGCGCGCTCCCTCTCTGCCACCCAGTCCAATTCACGTACGCCGACGAGGCTGTAGCCCACGGTTATGTCCGCATGCCCCTCGTCAAGGAAACCGTCGCCTCTCACCTGTGCCCATCGACGTCTGCACTGGGCGCGGACCGCAGCCTGCCGTCCAAGCCCTGCAGGTTCACGCCCCACCAAGCGGATAAGGCGTATGGAGCGGCAGGAGAGGCAGTTTCAGCTCTCCACGCCATGGCTATACTTCAAGTATTTCAGGCAAAGCTACTTAAGTCCCTGGACGGCGTCGCCTCTGTTGACGCTGACGTCATTCAGGATCTTCGCTCGGCTAAGGACCTTGCGCTGATGGCCACCAAATGCTCAGCGCAAGCCATCGGTCGCTCGATGGGTTTTCTGGTCGTCCTCCACAGACACCTGTGGCTGACTCTGTCAGATGTTAAGGATTCTGACCGGAAAACTAATGCTCTCATCACCCAAGCTGGTCTCTTTGGGAACGGGGTGGAGGCTGTCACGGAGCGTTTCTTGGAGACCCAGAAACGCGCTAAAGCCATGAGTCACGTGATCCCCAGTCGAGTGCCCCGGCTCAGCAGCGTTTGCCCTCGTCATCAGCTACTTGCTGATGCCCCAGAGCTCAGTGAGACAGTCAGCAGTGCCTCGCACTGGGTCGGATGCTCGCGCTTCCCGGGGCAGACAGTGGCCAGGACCCGGGAGAAAGAGCCAGGGCCAGAGAAGGAGCCCACGCCCCCCTCTGCGTCTCCGTCCGATCTTGCCTACAGGGTTATGCAAAATCAGGGAGGAGAAAGCGTCTGTGATTCTCGTAGCCCCGAACTGGCCAAATCAGCCCTGGTTCGCGGACATGATGGAACTACTAGTTTTATTTATTTATTTATTTATTTATTTATTTATTTATTTATTTATTTATTTATTTATTTAACAGGGACCATACAGTCAAACATAGTCACAATACAGAGCCTGTAACTGATGCGCAGCATATAGAGTTTATAGCTAATGCTAATTTACAACTCCTGTCCCTGGTTGGGCATTTCTAGATACATTATAAAAAAAAAATACATACAAATATAAAACAATCCCATTTCTTCAAACACACACACACACAACCAGAAAAGTAACAATTGTTAAAAATGGTTACAGTTTTGGTTTGCCTTTAGCCACAATTTAATCCTTGAAGTGAACTTTTTCCGCAGGCTAACAGCACAATATGGCACAAAACGGCACAATTGGCCAGCTGTCTCCAGCTGGCGTTAGCCCATAAGATTTCAGCAGAAGTGAAGAAGGGGAGGAGTTCCCATACTACGTCATCGACGTAAATGTCTCGTTCCCTGCCTTTCAGGGAACCGAGGTTACGAAAGTAACCGGAGACGTTTTGTGTCATGTTGATTCTATTTGTGTAAAGCAACTCCAGCAGTGTTAGAAAGATTGTTGTAGTAAGTGACCTAAAGGTGTGTATGTGTGCATCTGCAGTATTTAATATAGTGCATTCAAATCATGTCTGAAAGATCTTTTACTGGAATTTCAGAATTTACAGTTGGGAATATGAGCGACTGACATGACTCCTGAGCGGAT